GTAGGAAGTTTCTGAGAGCAGTCTGCAGGTGCTGGACATAATACGAAGCTTGGTCAACACGAAGTTTGGTATTTTGTCTTTTGTTGGGCGGCTCCTTGATGGACAAAATCTCCAGGCATTCTTGCTGGCTGAATATCTGGTATGCTTGCTTGGATTTTGTTTTCTACTAAGTGCACAGACTGCTTGCCTGCTGTCTCCCGGTGTCCCATGTGAGACTGGATCTGGGGACCTGTTTGTGCATTTGCTGGTACAGTGGTTTCATTTCGCCTGCCCAGCCAGGTGGGTCCAGCTCTGGCTTCCTCTGAACCTGAGTCTGCTTCTTGAGTGTGTCCCTTATGTATGCGAGGAGTTGAAATCTGCAGTTTGTTGGGTTATGCTGCAAAAGCTCAGGTGGTTCCTTTTGTGCCTCTGGCACAGCTTGGGCAGGGATGTAAATTGAGTAGGGCGGAGTCTCAGGAAGTCACCAGGGTGGAGCAAACAGCAATGGCGTCTCTGTGGCTTCTCCCCTCTCCACAACTCCGTGACTCCGTGTCCCTGAGTGCCGGCGCACAGCTCCACAAGAGAGCCACCCTCGCTTTCTGACCCGCTGCAAGGCTGTCCCGCCTCTCCCCGTAGGGGTTTGGGACCTCAGAATCCCGCCCCAAACAAGCTCAGTGGATTCGAGAGTTTGTAACCCCTTCTGATTGAAGAAAACCATGCATCCAGTTGCAGCCCGCCTTGCGCAAACTCCGTACCTCTGTTCTTGGCTCCTCTGCATATCATACTCAGTCTCAATGCACTTCTTTCTTTCCTTCCAGTTGTAGAACTTCCACTGGGCCAGCTTTCCCATGGTTCTGAATGATAGCTGTTTGTCTTATAGTTGGTAGTTTCAATGTTGATGTGGGAGGCAGCACACACAGGTCTATACCTTACGCCGCCATCTTGGTTCCTCCCTCCTCCTCTTCTTAAAGAATACCCTTCAGCATTTCATATAATGCTGGTTAGGTGGTGTTCATTCCTTTAGCTTTTCCTTATCTGTGAAGCTCTTTACCTGACCTTTAATTCTAAATGATAGCTTTGCTGGATAGAGTAATCCTGGTTGTAGGTTCTTTGGATTCCTCTTGTTTAGGGTTCTTTGAGCTTCCTGGACTTGTAAGTCTATTTCTTTCACCAGGTAGGGGAATTTTTCTGTCATTATTTCTTCAAAAAGGTTTTCAATATCTTGCTCTCTCTCTTCTTATGGTACCCCCATAATTCGGATGTTGGTATGCTTGAAGTTGTCCCAGAGGCTCTTTGCACTATCTTCATATTTTTGGATTATTTTTTCTATTTGCTCATCTAGTTGGGTGTTTTTTGCTTCCTTGTACTTCAAATCTTTGACTTGATTCTTGGAATCTTCTAGTCTACTGTTGAATCCCTCTATATTATTCATTCTTTCTGTCAGTGTATGCTTAATTACTGACTGGTCCTTTTCCTTCTTTTTTTTTCTTTCTTTTTTTTTCTTTTTTTTTTTTTTTTTTTTTTTTTTTTTTTTTTTTGGCATTCTCACTAAGTTCCTTGAGGGTCTCATTAAGTTCCTCAGAGGTTTCTAGAAAATTCTTGAGTAACTTTATAACTAGTTTTGAACTCTATATTTCTTTCATTTGTGACATTTTTTTGTCTCTGCATTTTGGCTATTTCCCTGTGTTTGTTTCTATGTATTGGGTAGCTGCTAAGTCTCCTTGAGTTGATAGAGTTGCCCTGTGTAGTAGGTGTCCTATAGGGCTCAGTAGCTCAGCCTCCCCATTCACTTGAGGTGAACACTGTTTGGGCAACACTTTGTGGGCTGTGTGCACACTCTTATTGTAGTTGAGCCTTGCCTGCTGTTGGTATCACTGGGAGGAATTGACCTCCAGGCCAATTGGGTGTGAGGACCAGCTGTGTCTACAATGAAAGAGCTGCTGTGCAGGAGACACCCTTATGGGGCAGGACCTTTGGTGCTCACTGAGTCTGCCCCTTGAATGTGTTTCTTGTGGACGTGAAGAGTTGTAATCCAGTATGGTCTCACACTGATCACTGGGCACACTGATTGGATCTCCAAGGAGATGCAAAGTCAACCACTGCCGCAGGCCACCCAGCAGGAGCTACAGAGAGATCTGCAGATTCCTCCTCTTTGTATCGGGTTTGCAAGTGCCCAGAGGAGGCCCAGCTGTGAAGCAAGGAAGGCTACTGCTGGTGCAGGCCTTTGGCCTTCTTTTGAAAGCTTTGGGGCTCCCTGACCCTGCTGCAGGTTAGTTTGACAGGTTTTAGGCTGAGAAAGGACAGGCCATTCATATGCAAAAGCTGCTGCACACAGCTTGGATGGGGTTGTAAATTGGGTAGCATGGGGTCTCAGGGAATCTCCAGGGCGGAGCAAACAGCAATGGCTGCCAGTCAGCCCTGCACCGGGGAGGTCTCTGCACAGGAACAGTGACCACTGCAAGCATCTCCATCTGGAAGAAAGCCTCCCCCACGTTCCTGCCCTGATGCCAGACAGTCCAGTTTCTCCCCATATGTATCTGGGTCCCCCAGAGTCTCACCTGGCACTGGAGCTCAGAGCAAGTGGGAGCGTGTATCTCCATCCTGATTAAAAAAGCAGCATCCCCAGGTGCCAGCCTGTTCCATGCCTCCGCACTTCCTACCAGTCTCAATGCACTTTCTTCACCTCTCTAGTTGTGGAACTTCCACTCAGCCATATGGTTCTAGATGATAGTTGTTATGTATTTTAGTTGTAATTATGATATGCTTGTGGGAGGCAGCAGGTACAGATGTCTACCTATGGCCCCATCTTGGTTCTCTACAGGACATAGGTAATACTTTCAACAATAAGGATTTAAAAAAAAGAAAAGAAAAGAAAGAAAGAAATGGACTCAATTTGGATCATAAGGCATACCCCAGAGCCCCACGTTTCCATGGAATCTGTGAATGTGTTTTCTTTATTGAATACTTACAGGTCCAACATCAGGAGGGCTGTTACTTCACTGAACTTGAAGAAGACGCTGAGCTCTGGGAGGTTAAGTCATTGGACAAAATCCCACTTGTAAGTGGTGGAGTCAGACCCCTGAAGTCATGGGAGAGAATTATGAGCATATTATTTAAAACTCTGAAGGTTCCACAGCTAGAAACTGGTAACAGCATTGAGCTCATGAACGCAAATAGGATGGAGATCAAAGAGGAAAGGGAGAATTTTATTTCTCATTAAAAAAACACACGCTGGATATTTTGCCTTATATATGCATGTTTTTGAAAATGAATGCATGTTCTGTGGGTCAGGAAGGTGTCTAGAGGGGGA